TGTTATTTTGTATCGCATAAAACTTCAGTCGTTATATACTGTGAAAACGAACACAAACATTATGGTGTTTTGGTCAGAAATTCAATCTTTCGTGTTCTGACGTATTTATTATTAAATCTCGTCATTTGATTCCTCAAAAAAGCTCTTTGTTAGTCTGACATCATTTATACTTTCAAATATATTAGTTTTATTGTTTTTTATGCCGACTTCAACGAGCTCCAGAAATGTGTAAACATACAAAATGTCATTAATGTTGTTTAGCCCATTCATGTACTATAGAATTAAACATAAGTATATATAAAAGAGGAAGTTTATTTATTTGTTCGCTATAGAAAACCAAACGGTTGAACTTACAAATTTTAAAATAACTTCATAATAACCAGTTTTTTACAAGAAATTTAATGGTGCTGTTTATTTTGTAATTGGTGTAGTATTTAATGACGAAATTGACAATTAAGCACGTTTTTGCACATAAAAAGCGTTATGGCGGGAGACACTCAGATCACCATGCTGTCAATTCAGTATTTCCAAAACAGTTTTCTTTAAATAATGCTCAGTGGTTTCATAAGTGATTTAGTAACTTTGTGAATTGCAAATTATTGTTTAGTGACACAGGTGATTATGCCACCCAAGAAACATCCTTTCTATGGAAAGTCTTCTGCCGCTAAAAGAATGCAAGCACAAAGAGCAGCTGAAACAGAAGAAGAACGCAATTAAAGACTTCAAGCACAAGCTGCAAGACAGGCTGCTCAAATACAGAAAGAGACTTTGGAACAACGTAAAGATAGACTTCGAGCTCAAGCTGAAAGGCAGGCTACTCAAAGCTAGCAAGAAACTGTTGAACAACACAAAGTCAGAGTTCAGTCAGAATCATCAAGGCAAGCTGGATATAGACAACAAGAAACTTCTGAACAACGTCAAACCAGACTTCAAGCATAAAAATTAAGACAAATAACTTACAGAGAGCAATAACCAGAGGAGCAACATCATGTACGACTTCAGGCTCAAAGAACAAGACAAGCTCAAACACGATCTAATTTCAAATAAAGCTTTGTTTGATTAAATGATCTTTTATTTCTCGCATCACAGCTTTCGTATACTTACTGAATAATTTACTGAAAAAAATACTGATCTATACATTTCAAATCTAAATTTTCACCGTGCAACGCCGGGTAACTCAGCTAGCAGTTATATATTACATCACCAGATGCAGCATTTAGAACAAAATACTGTTATGTGAGAAACAGGTGCCCAGGAAGGATAAATAAAATCGAAGTGGTTTTTGCTTAATGGATTTTATCTAAATCTAGGTATACAGAAAAATACCAACAACACAAATTAAAATTAAAATTGAATTTTGAAAACTTTCTTACATTTTCTTTCGTTATAACTAGTGCTTCAATTTGTATTTTTGTATTTATTTTAATTATCTTGTGCACATTTTTAAACAAGTTATCACACTAAATTAACCAACTTAATAATCTATCTGTCTATAAGTTTTTAACCAAACCTCATAAGATGTTTCTGGTGGTTAAAAGCACAAATTCCCACATTTGTAGTGTTTGAAGTAGCATACGTTTAGAAAGAAATAAAATATTTTAGAGATGTCTTCATGTAGAGGGAACAATAGTACACGTGGATGTTACTAGTTTTTATATAATTTAATAAATCCAACAAATGTGTTTAATTTTTCTTTAGTTTTTAGAACTGCAAAGTAGCCAATAGATACCTTGAAATGGGTAATAACTTTCATCTGTAATTTAAAGTGCTATTTAAATCAGGGAGAAAATAAATGTGACATCTATGAAGAAATTTAATACATAGATAACATCATGGGCTTGATATTCCAGCTGAGGTTGGGTAAAGCAACCGGTATGAATAATATTATAATTATATTTTTCTAGATTGTTTGTTGACGAATCTCATTTGTTACTATTTCGACTGTTTTATTTCTTCAAGAGGAAACATTTCTGGATAATAAATAATTGTAAGAAAGTGTTTAGATATCCAGTTTTAATATTCTTTATTCTACTGGGTGAGCCTTTCAGGGGATTAATTAATCGTACAAAGTGTTTAGATATCCAGTTTTAATACTCTTTGTTCTACTGGGTGAGCCTTTCAGGGGATTAATTAATCGTACAAAGTATTTAGATATCCAGTTTTAATACTCTTTGTTGTACTGGGTGAGCCTTTCAGGGGATTAAGTAATCGTAAAAAGTGTTTAGATATCCAGCTTTAATATTCTTTGTTGTACTGGGTGAGCCTTTCAGATCCCCTGAAAGACTCACCCAGTACAACAAAGAATATTAAAGCTGGATATCTAAACACTTTTTACGATTACTTAATCCCCTGAAAGGCTCATTCAGTAGAACAAAGAATATTAAAGCTGGATATTTAAGTAATCGTAAAAAGTGTTTAGATATCCAGCTTTAATATTCTTTGTTGTACTGGGTGAGCCTTTCAGGGGATCAAGCAATCGTAAAAAGTGTTTAGATATCCAGCTTTAATATTCTTTGTTGTACTGGGTGAGCCTCTCAGGGGATTAATTAATCGTAAAAAGTGTTTAGATATCCAGCTTTAATATTCTTTCTTCGACTGGGTGTGTACTTCAGAGAATCAAACAGTCGTAAAAAATGTTTTGTTACTCAGTGATACTTTTAGAGGATTATATAGTCGTAAGTAAATGATAAGTTACAGTTTTTGACATTTAATAGGGCAATGATTAATCATAGTCATCCGTGTAAAGATCATATAAAGTTAGCAGGTTTCACTGAAGAGAATGTGTGGAAAATATTTATGGATGTATTCCGTCGAAACTTTTAACAGATATTTTCACCTTTGTTGTACTAGTGCTTGAATGGCCATGTTTATTTTAACTCCAGTACATTTTCATAGCGTTAGTTAATAAGATACTGCTTACCTTACAAAATAACCTGAACGTCGACTTTAACCACCAGTATTGACTTTCAAAAAGATAAATCTATATGTATCTCATTTCGAAACAAATCGCTTTCTCAAAAACGTTAAAGAAAATATTCCAAATATACCTACAAAACATTTCAGAAAGCAGTTTTTATCATCTAAATCTAATATCTGGCATAATAATAAGTAGAAGGTATTTAGAAACAATTCACGAATCACAATAGCCAACATGCTGCAGAACAGCAAAAACAAATTTGGATGCATGAAGAGATGTGTTTACTTTCCATAAACCTGAGTAGGGCTGTTATGTTATCAGGTCTTCGTGTATGTGTGTTAATATGTTGAAGCAACAAACCAGCTTTATTGATGTAGTTTTTTAACGAAATAACACATTCGTAAACGCTGTAGATCCAGTGAGTGTACAGATATTATTGGTAAAAGTTTATAATATGATCTAATTCACATTAGATTTGATGTAAATAATGTCTCTGATACATTTATATTCACCACTCTCTAACAACAAACTTTAAATATGATCTCGAAGAATTAGTAAAATATAACATGTTGCCATAGTTGGAATGTTGATTTTAAGAATGTAAACGCACTGATTGTTCAGAGCTTTGCAGGCCCGATGACGCCATTTTCCAGTTATATCAAGAGTTTTTGAAATACATTGTGTAGACCATATTTGTATATCTGTTGTATTTAGTAAAGGAGAGGCTTTCCTACAAAACCTGACTGTTTAGAATGCAACAAGGATACCATTAACAGATATATTTAATTTGATATTTGATTACTCAATATATATAAATTAATTTATGTATATGTGTGTGTCTATATATATATATATATATATATATGTATTCAAACACACACACTCTATTTTTGATCTAGTTTACTTCTTTCGCTTTGGTAACTCTTGCAACAAAGAAATATAGTTCACAAAATCTATATACAATGTAACCCAGTTCCTGGTTTTATCAGTGTTGAAGAATTGTATTTTCATCTTTAAATGAAAATATAAAATTTCGCAGTTCTAAAAATGAAAGTTTAAAGAGAACATTGACAACTTACTACTGATGTTTCATGGGTTTTGTTCAGGCTTACAAACTCATGTCCCAGAAACGAGTAAGAGCTGCTGTCTTAACAATGTGGCAAAATTAAAAAGCAATATTGTAGAGTTTAAAAGGTAATAAACTTCAAACTGCATTGTTGTATAACATAAATACGAAAGCTCCATTCAAACAATATTTTGGTAACACTTGAATGTGAAAATCTTCCAACCGTACTTTGCAAAACTCAAAAGAAAAAAAATAAGTTCTGCACATTCAAAACTTCCCGAATTAGTAATCTTAGCTCAGCAATTCCAAACATTATGAAAACAACTCCAGTGATTGCGTTACATACAACTCTTATAATTTTGGATATGTCATTTAAAGCCTTAATTATTACGGAAATTATAGTTAATAATTCCGGGAATGCAATATTAGTATTAGGTATTCAGTTAATCTCACAAACACTTGTAGTCTTATCTTATAACAATGTATGATACGCAGATACAGATGACTAAAATAATTTCATTCAGACACAATTCTGGGTAAGATAATTAAGGTCTGTTACTGTTTATCCAAAGTGGACGCTGGTCAACTGCTGATGCACGATCATGTATAATTTTATCTCTATTTTTTAATCATCTTGTGCTCTTCGACAAATTTCAACATTATAGTTCTACTTCGAATCTTTCACAAACAAAACTAATCAAAATTGTTTAAATGTCTTAAGCATTCGGTATGTTACTCATAAAATATGTCCTGAGACGATGTTGTTTTGATAATACCTGTCACGAAATATTTCTGATCTTCCTCACAGAATTGTTCCTACAAGTTCACTTTATTTTTTCTTAAAGTGGTATTAAAGAAATATTATCGGGATCTTGGGAATAAGGCCGTAAATGTACCTAAGTCAATGGACAGTGTTGAACAAATGACTGTGTTTTTTAGTTTCATTTTGAACTATACTTAGTAGAACCAAAAGAAAAATAACAATTTAAAAAAGAACAGCTCTGTAACTTCACTCACCTGAGGACACATTTTACATTGGTATTTCCGACCTGTTCCATTGGTGGCAGCATTGCCAGAGTTTATAGAGGCAGGGTTTTTAGTAGCCGCGTTGATTGGCTGTGGAACAACCAGCATGGAGCTACCAGAGCTGGGACTGGACACTGGGGGACTACCACTGTTGCCGTTTCCATGGCTGCCATACATATTGTGCATCTGTGGCGATTCCATCGGGGGTGACCGCCCCTCATCCAACGTGCTGCCTTGGCCTGTCAAAAAGAAGAAAAAAGAAGCTTATACACTTCGTTAACAAATACTTTGTTCATTCTACCACCAAAATAATTATTTCAATAATAATACTCAATGCCAGACTTGAAATGTTAAACAATAGCGGAAACACATGCAATATCATACTAATGGATAAACTTGTGTTTGTATGTTTTAGAATCCTCGTGCTAAGCTACAAAAGGGCTATCTACACATAGCCGTCCCTAATTTTGAGCTTATGATAATTGTCTTCCCTTTGTCGAAAAAACAACAACAAACTCTTCCCCCTAGAATCGCGGATGTGCTGCAAGAATAATGGTGAAATCATACTTTTCGGTCAGACAAGAGTAGGCCTAGAGCTGGGCGGTGGTGCTGTTGATTAGCTGTCTTCCCTCTAACCTATCTATTCCAAATTAGGGACGGCTATAGACAGATAGCCCTTGTATAGCTTTGCGCTAAATCTCTCAAAGAAGACAAAAGAGACTAACTTCCAACGATGCGATTAAAAATGCTATTACCAATGAAGCCAAAAGCTTAACTCACTAACTACTGCTAGTAAGACAGACTTCTGCCGTAGTTGGCCATCACACTCTCTCCTCTCTTAAATAATTTGTATTCGAGTCTAAAACTTTTTAAATAGTTTTTTTCTTAGATGGATATCAATTCATTTTTCTATGTTATCTCATAACAGGTTATCACATACTTCTTTCCAACAAGTTAACAAACTAGTTTTTGCTGTTAGCTGTTTTTAGCCGCGGCATAACGGCTCATAGAATGACTCTAAATTTGTTTGTTTCTTTCTTTTAAGTACAAACTTTTAGCTCATTGCTCCGTCATCTCTTGACCTATTTGAGATCTAATTACAGTTTTGGACTCAGTAGATCAAACTCTTTCGATTGATGTATATTACCACGCCCAAGGTCTCATAGATTAATTTACTACAATCATGACTTAAAGAATTTCTATTTGAGGGTAGGCTGGTAGAGATCCTGATGAGTAATAAAATCGAATCGGGTATACGCGCACCCCACGCTTGGAATTGCTGGCGCACAAAAATATAGCTAATAAAAAATAAAATAATGGAATCATAGATTAATTTACTCTAATTTTGCCTAAAAGAATTTCAATGCCGAATCTTTTCAGTTTGGTGTCCATCAACAGTACAAAAGCGTCAATGCGGAACTCATCACCAAATGCTTGACTCTTATCTTTGTGAATTTATGAAGAGAAATACAAACAAAGATGAGGATTTGTTAAAAAAATATTGTTTAATATCGCAGAATTCGCTAAAAATAAATACCATATAATGATTTCTTGTTAATTATTTTATTTTATTGCATTACTGGTGTTATTTTCGCAACGATCTGTTGGTGGGCACCAAACGGAAAAGGCCACAAGTGCCGCGGCTATTGAAGATTTCCTCTTGTTATCTATTCATCTTTTGAAATAAATCGCATCAAAAACAAAATGCATCCACGTGCTTCCCAAAACAAAAGCTTTGTTGATGTTTTTGTTTAATTGGGTTGCAGTTTGTTATAACCCCCACCCCCAAAAAAGGGGTGTCAAGATCAACGTTTGCTGTGATTCGAAACCTTACCCATCGTAGTGAGGAAAACCAGTATTCTTTTAACAATTGGGCATGAGAATTTATTACCTAGCTAGTTCAGATAATATAATGTATTGTTTCGTTTATTAAACCACACAGCCACGACAGGTGAAAATCGTCTTGATCCCCACTTTTTCTCTTGAGACAGTAAATCTGATATAATTGTTCCATTGTTTTAAACTTTGAAAACGAAAAAATCCCTGCATTTATATTAAAAAAAAAACTAACATGAGATAATTCTCTACGGCGTTAGCAAAGCTCAATCGTAATACTAAATGCGTTCTCACCATTGACACCTCATAGCTGTAAAAAACTGTACCAGAACATGTAATTGATTACGCGGTTTGACACGACAGTATACATAATATATTTTTCTTTCCACCTGGTCTCCAGTGGCTAAGCGATAAGTCTTAGGGCTTATAACGCTAAAAATCGGGTTTCAATACTCGCGATGGGCAGAGCACAGATAATCCATTATGTAGCTTTGCGCTTAACAATAAAAAAACACACTTCCAGCTCATTTTTAACTAAACGACGCGTCATGAACGTCTTCATATATATGAAGTAAATGATACAGAAAGATTTTCCGAAACATTTACTTGTTTATATTGCCTCTCGATGAATTGTAATTCAAAATATATATACAAACACACATACACTTTTTAAGGAAGTTAAGCTTAATGACTCAAGATGGCGCTTCTACTCACTAATCGTCTAACGTTCTGAAATTTTATAAAAGTCATAACTTGATTGCTGCTAAGCATTAATAAAACTTAACGACATTTTAATGATTTTTTCTTATGATTACAAACAGTTTTTACATAAAATTTAAAGAACGTCAGACTACCAGTTTTTGAAGAAAGTTGTTGATATCTGAGTATAATTATCGCATTTTATTGTCTTCCTTTTTGATAACCTGTTAAACGTGGAAACAAACAAATGGCTACCATATGGTTTCGATTAACAAACAGATGATGGGCTCAGCCGAAGATAGATATTTTGCTAAGCTTTCACTCAGTCTGACCTAAATGTCGTTTGCCATGCATGGATGACCTAATAATTTTGTAAAATATGGTTTCGTTTGTTAACCTCATTATTTTCCAAGCATATAAACGGTTTAAAATCTGGTTATAGATATGGATAATACTCTCTCTCTCTTGTTACACTCGCAATTCTTATAAACGGATCACACATATGGGGGTTCTGCGATAACAGAAAACGTTTTTTTGTTTTTCGTATTTGTAATAATCTGGAAATCACATTACTCAGAATAGTCAACATTATTTACAAGCATTTAACCATAATGGGAGTACGAACAATAATGCCTGGAGCAATAAATGCCTGGATTTATTGGGAAAAAACTTAACAATATATATATATAACCGAATGTATTTGTAAAAATTTCTGGGGGTAAGAGACTTTAGCAAACAAAAAATTGTAAATAGAGTTAGCGTGAAACATATTTAAAGGTAATTATTTAATTCATCATTTGACTAAAGTGAATATAATGCACTACACTTATTACAGGAAAGAAGGGATTACAAATATAATAAGGATATTACTATAGAAGTGTATTAGTTTGCTAACATATACAATTTTATATAGAATATATATATTAAACGAAAGAATATTCTTTGCAGTTGCAATACAAAAATTAAAGTTATATGAGTATTTATTGACTTTTTTTTTTTGCCAAGGCACGCATGTAGTGTTCGCTATATATTACATCAGAATTTACAGTACCAATTCAAGTTAAATGTACATTACTGGATTTTCTCACAAATTTTATGCATAAGAAACTTGTTTATCTTATCCTACATAAATATAAACTCTCACTCATCCCCCCAAATATATATGT